CAGTCCTCAAACCGTGGTCGACTACATGGGAGTCCAGTGACAGCCATTACGCTAACTGCTGGTCCCTCAACTCCCTTATTTATTTATTTTTTTTTGGAGAGGTTTTTGCTATAGGGCACGTGCACTCGCCAGACAGACAGAGACAGAGAGACAGAAAGCGAGAAATCACCCCTTAGAAGGGATGGCCACGCTGCAATCCCTTCTCCTCCATTCTCCTCTTGGGATCTTGGGCATGCATGCACACGCGCCCGGCGTGAGTTTAAGCCACTGGGTCCGGGACTTGAACCACGGTTGACTATGTGGGAGTACAGCAACATAGCCATTACGCAAACTGCTGGTCCCTCAACTCCCTTATTTTAACTGTGCATTTCTGATTTAATCTTGACTGGGGTAATTAGGGTCTATCTTCCTTGTCTATTTTCCACGGAATTTGCCAGGGAAAGGACTTGCAATACTTGATGGCCTGTTGTTGCAGGGTGCCAGAGCTGATAGTGTGTGTATGCATATAGGCCTGCACACATGTATTTGATATGTATGTCCAAATATGTTGTGTACATATATAGATAGATACATACATTCAGAAGCATGTCTATATGAACTTGGATGACTAGGTGTTTTAGTCCATTTTTCTGTTGCTAAAACTGAATACCACAGTTTTATGGGTAACATAAAAAACAGAAATTGGGCTGGCCCGATAGTGCCGTGGTTAAGCACTGTACAGAGGGACCTGGATTCCACATGGCTGAGCTGACCGGAGTTTGAGTCCCAGCACCAGCAGCTTGAGAGACATACTGGACTTGTGCAAGGGTGCCCAGATCCTGACTGTATGGGCATGTACACTCTTCACGTGTCCAGTGTGTAAGGTATGAAAGGAATGCCGTGTGACCAGGTCCCGCTAGGCGGTGGTTTCTCCCTCCTTCTTTCTCATGCATACACACATACCCTCTGACATTTAGAAAAACATTAAAAAGAAGGTAATTTAGGAACCAGCAGTTAGCGTAATGGCTATGTCGCTGGATTCCCACGTAGTCGACTGCGGTTTGTGTCCCGGACCCGGTGGCTTAAAACTCACGCCGGGCGCGTGTGCGTGCGTGCCCAAGATCCCGAGAGGAGAATGGAGGAGAAGGGATTGCGGTGTGACCATCCCCCCTGGGGGGTGATTTCTCGCTTTCTGTCTCTATGTCTCTCTCTGTCTGGCAAGCGTACGCGCCCTACAGTGAAAATCTCTAAAAAAAAAAAATAAAAAAAAAAGAAGGTAATTTAGTTAATAGTTGTAGAGCCTTGAAGTCAAGAGGCTGCATCTGGTGAGGGTCATCTTGCTGATGGGGACTCTCTTGAGGGTACGCAGAGTGTTACATGGTGAGAAGTCAAGAGCTTGCACATAATTTTGTCTCTCTTTTTAAAAAAATTTGCCAGATGATGCATATGCTTGTTGGAGAGAGATGGATAGGCAGAAATGAGAAAGTACCCCATGAGGCATGGTCATGCTGCAATCTCTTCTCCATTTCTCCCCCCTTTATGTGTTTAGGACATTCACACACATGTGCTGGTGTGTGCCTCAAATCTCCATTCTGGTCCTTAAACCACACAATTGGCCATGTGGGATCTAGCTGCCTTAGCCACCACACCCTGTTCTTCTCTTCTTATGAAGTGACCAGTATTCAATCATGGGACCCCACCTGGTGACATTATCAAACACTAATCATCTCCCAAAGACCCCACCTTCCAACACCATTGTTGTTTTGAGCTTCCTTTCTCTCTCTTTTTCTTTTTTAGCTGTAGGGTGTGTGTGCTTGCTAGAGACACAGAGAGACAGAAAGCAAGAAATCACCCATCAAGAGGGATGGTCATACCACAATCCCTTCTCCATTCTCCTCTTAGGATCTTGGGTACACATGCACATACATCCAGTGTGATTTCCACCACCAGGTCTCAAACTCGAACCATGGTTGTTCATGTGTGAATCCAGTGACATTACTACTACATCACTTACTGGCCCCAAGTTTCCACTCTCTTAATACTGTCACAACAGTTACCAAATTTCAAAACTTGACTGTTGGAGGGACACATTAAACCCACATCACTAGGAGATGGGAGAACTACCCTGTTTTCTTTTGTAGGCCATGGGTGAACTGATTGCTTCTTTGTGGCAAAGTAGTCTTTTCTTCTGGGGGAAAAAAAAATCTACATGCTCATTATATAAATACAGAGCAAGTTTTCATTCCCTTATTATAATTATTATTTTAAAGACAGGAGGTAACACTATGAAGGTAGATGTTTTTAAACAATTGTTTTCCACTCTTTTCCTGCTTCCATGTAGCTGAGAGAGGACACACTCCTGTGGAGGACTCCTTTTAATAGTTTCTCTAGAGAGCGGGGAGGATAAATCAGATTCCCTTGGAATGCTGAGGTGAAGCAATCCCAGAGGTGGTTCTTGGAGAAGCTTAACTCAGACGTAGTTTCAATGTACTTTTATCTTGTTTAAGATTAAACAGCCTTGACTTTTAGAAACTTACTTATGCTGGAGTATTGTATTTTGGTGTGATTTTCTTGTAGGAATCCCAGGGCAAGACGACATCCCCAGTGGTGGGAGTGGTATTTTCTGAAGGAAGTTTAGATTCCACAGTTGATTTACCAGCTACTATGGCTTGCTGGCCCTCCTCACTGCCTCTGGTATTCACCTGGAAAGTCTTGAATTACTGTTAAATTCAGCTCTGCCTTTGTACCCAAAGCTCCTAAATGGGTTTGGAGAAAACCACCTCAATATACTGACTAAATTTAAATTATTTACCATCAGTTTTAATTAGGTGATGATCAATCTGTAATCCTAGTCCCCCAAGTGTTTTCTCTTGTATCTTCCAAAGCAGTTATTTCATGTCTTAGCCTTCTAACTGCCGACACTTTATTACTCTTTCATAGTTTGTTGTTGACGTGACTATGTATTTACCACTAGAAAGGAATGTTCTTAAGCTAACGTTATTACTACTATATCTACGTGAATCTGAACTTCCACTATTTGCCTTCTTTCCTTTTGCTTAGAGAAAGTAGCTCTGCCCCAATTAAAGGTCACCTGAGCTCTGTGTCCCATCCTCTTCTCATTCCTAAAGACTTTGCTCTTTGGGACCAGCAGGTGGTGTAGTGGTTAAGGTGTTGGACTCTCACGTGGTCGACTGTAGTTCAAATTCCAGGCCCAGTGGCTTGAAATTTACACCAGGCAAGTGTGTGTGCATGCCCAAAATCCTCATGGGAGGATGGAGGAGAAGGGGTTATTATCATGGCCACCCCGTGGGGGTGATTTCTCACTTTCTGTCTCTGTTTCTGTCTCTGTTTCTCTGGCGAGCACATGCACCCTATGCACCCTATAGCAAAAATCTCTTAAAAAACCTTCACTCCTGCAGTTATTCTCATTATCTCCTGCATCACCAATTTTCTTCCCTCTACTGGTTATTCTAGATAGCCCTTAAATGTACTTCATTAAAGTGTATCTTTCAATGATTTCAAAATAAAACTTCTTGACACCATAGTCCCCCAGCGGCTGCCCATTTCTCGACTTTTTTTCTCATTTGAACTTGGTTAATAAACTACTGTCCTCATTTTCTCACTTGCCTGTCTCTTCCTGAGCTATCCCAACGAGCTCTCTCATCGGTAAGATCACAGTGACCTCATTTCCAAACCTAGAGTCACCGCTCTGTCCTCACTTTGCTTGACTGTTAGTAGCATGTGGAGTATTTTCTCTTCACTTTGGGGACATCCCTCACCTACCTTTCTTCCTACCTCATTCACTTGTCTTCTCATTCTCCTTTCCTCTTCTCTCTCTCTCTCTTTTTTTTTTTTAGAGGTTTTTGCTCTCTAAAAATAGGGTGCGTGCGCTCGCCAGAGAGAGAGAGATAGAAAGCGAGAAATCACCCCCCAGGGGGGATGGCCTTGCCGCAATCCCCTCTCCTCCATTCTCCACTCGGGATCTTGGGCACACACGCACACACACCTGGCGTGAGTTTAAGCCACCGGGTCCGGGATGTGAACCACGGTCGACTACATGGAAGTCCAGTGACATAGCCATTACGCTAACTGCTGGTCCCATCCTCTTCTCTTAAACTCCAAATTTTATTATAATTTGTCTCAGGGCTTGACCCCAATGCTCATTATCTCTAGCTACATTCTCTCCATAGCTGCTCTTTTCCAGCACCATAGGTTTAAATATCATCTATCTTCTATAGATCCCAAATATTTATCTCAATGAAGAACTCCTTAGGGAGTTCTAAACCTGTGTTTTCTCAACAGTCTACTTGCCCCCTCAAACCCGTTCATCGTTGTTTTTTATAAGTTTTGATATACGGTGTGCCACTACCAGAGAGAGAGAGAGAGAGAGAGAGAGAGAGAGATACAGAGAGAAAGGAGAGAGAGAGGGAAAGTGCAAAAATCCCTCCCTGGGGATATGGGCACACTGAAATCCTTTCTCCTCCATTTTCCTCTTGGGGTTTTGGGCATACACGACCAGCATGTTTTCTGGCCTGTGTGTCTGGAACTTAAACTCTGAAGTCACCATGAGAAATTAAGCCTTCTTAATCACCACACCATCGACTGGCCCCAAATCTGTTCATCTTCAATCTTTCTTTCCCCATCAAAATTCAAGGCCAAAATCTAGGTGTTTTCCTGAAGTACTCCTTTTCCTTCATTTTCACTTCCAGTATATGGACAAACATCATTGTTACCTGCTAAATGATTCTCCAATCCACCCATATTTCTCAACTTCACAATTCCCATTCTAATCCTATCCTGAATTCTTTAATAGATTCTGTACTTCATTGGTTCCCCTATAGTCCATCTCCCACCTGGTAAACAGAGTGATTCTTAAGAGCATAAATCTGACCAAGCTATTCCTTCACTTAAAGCCTTCAGTAATTTTTCTTTGTACTTGGAATAAATTCCAAACGTTTTGCCACAGTCCACAAAATTGGACACAACCTGCCACCTACCAACCCTTCCAATCTCATCTAGTGCCATCTTTCTCCTCTTCCTTCCCCAATGCATCATCCAACTATCAACAGCTTCCCCTGGTTCCTTGAACACACCAAATTCATTCCTGGCTTCTGGCCTTCCACTTACTGTTCACTTTCTCCGGAACATTTAACTACCATATCTTCACATGACCGACTGTCTTGTCATTCAGGACTCAGCTCAAATGTCAACTCAATTCAAATGATTATCCATTGTAAAATAGCCTGAGTTAGTGTGCGGCATGACCATCCCCCCTGGGGGGTGATTTCTTGCTTTCTGTCTCTATGTCTCTCTCTGTCTGTCTGGCGAGCGCACGCGCCCTACAGTGAAAATCTCTCCAAAAAAAAAAAATGATTATCCATTGTAAAATAGCCTGAGCAGGCATAATTACATTATTCTATTTAATTTCCTTTATAGCATTCATTGCTCTCTGAAGTTCTCTCATTTGTTTATTTACTAGCTTATTGTTTGCCCCTCTGTACCTCCACCATTCATATTCTCCCATGTACTTATTTATACACGCAGACATGTAAGGTCTGTGACAGTGGGGACCTTGCTTGTCTTGTTCATTCCTGAATAAGTGCATGGCACTTAGTAGAAGCTCAATAAATATTTGGTGAAATGCAAATGAAGGTAAAAAGAGTCAATATTCCTATTGTCAATCATGCTATGAAGAAGCAGATGCTGAGCTGAGGAACGGCCCCTCATAAAGGGAGTGCTATGATGGGTGTGAAGGGAAAAGCATCTTTCACAAAGTCCTTAAGGTTGTGTTTTAGATCTTAAGTTCATGGATCCCAAAGCTCAATTCTCTTTTCCAGGGGTCTGTTTCTGTCACGTGTAGGTAGGTTGGTGGAAAGAGATTTGCTTCTGCATCCCAAAGTTCAATTCTCTTTTCCAGGGGTGGGGGGCAGTCTGTTTCTGTCACGTGTAGGTAGGTTGGTGGAAAGAGATTTGCTTCTGCTACTGCAGCATCTTGGAGCTAGACAGAGAGACAGGCCGGAGAGCCCTCAAGGATGGTCACAGGCCTGTGAGCTCTAGTTAGTCTTAAGTTATTGCTGTGCTTCATTTCCCACCGTCATCCCTGTCACAGGGTTTTCAGGGAAACTTTATTAAAAGTAGCAGCTTAGTCTTAACATGGAATTAACATGGAAGTCTCTGCAACCTGAGGAGTGGTAAAGGGGAGGGATTCTGCATCTCTCAGATGTAGAGGTGGTTGGGGAAGGCTTAAGGAGTAGTCCAGGGCCAGAGGAAACTGGCCAGAGGTCAATGCAGTAGCATAGACTTCACTAACTTTGAGGAGAAACATCTGAAAGGGAGATAAGGTTTAGCTTTCATATGGGTAAGGATTTGATGCATCAGAATGCAGGCTATTAATGGAAATGCAACCTCTTTTGTACCCACGAACTGGTGAAGCCTGGGAGAGGTGTATGACAGTTATAAGACTTTCTCTTGGCTATCAATGGAAGTCAGAAGGCAGCAGACATGTGTAGCTTCTTTAGTGAATTTTGTTCAAAGCACAAATTAGGCAAGGCCTAAGCAAATAACTGGATAGGATCATTTAGGAAGGAGCAAGGACACTGTCATTGAGAGTTCTGTTCTGGTGTGACTTTTTGGCTTCAAATCCCCACTTGATCATTTCTCATGGGGATGTTGGCAGTTATTTGGGATTCATTTACGTGCTTCACGAGGTTTACTGATGCCACCTAGTAGGGCTGATGTGGGCATTAAATGAGATAATCCATGGAGAGCATTTAGTCAGCATTGGGTTCATAGGATACATCACACATATTTGCTAGTGTTCTCTGATCTATGATTAAGTGCCTGGAGGAGCTATCAAAGAGAATTAAACAGGCTGTGAAGGGAGTTTTCCCACCGTGACCTGATGGCATGTCAGGACTCATCTATTTATCTGGAGAACACCAAACATGATTTCATATGCAGGAGAGACATTACCTTAATCACACCATTGGTTCTCCTGGGCTCTGACCACTGTAGCAGCAAAGCTCGGCCATTCTCCTTCTGTTCTACTGTGAAGTTGCTCAGTCCACTTGGGGAAGATTCTGAGGTCTGAATCACGGTCCACGGGCTTGACACTTCTCCTGCCTGGTTTGTGGCCACAATGCCAATGTGATAGGTTGTGAATGGTTCTAATCCAAACAGGTGGGCTTGGTGGCTAGTACCCTGTAAGAAAGGTAACAGGTGTAGTTTCTTTTAGAAATGGACAATAATTGCTGGAAGGCCACTCTCTGAACAGCATGGACAAAACATCATCAGTGGCAGCACAAATACTACAGCAAGGTTTGAATTACCATGAGGCAAGCACTAGGTGTTTTTCCATTTTTTTTAAAGCTGGTTTGTTTCTTCCATGAGAAAGAGAGAGAGTCAGAGAGACAAAGAGACAGACACCCTCCTAACCAGGTCCCCATACTGCAATCCACCCTCTGTCTCAGCTGGTCCAGATCACGGGCACTCATGTGTATACCCAGTGTGTTCAGGAAGGTTCTGAGATCTGAACCCAGGACCTTCCCATGTGGGTCCAGCTGTACAAGTGCTGGGCTGCTACCTGGCCCGGGTGTATTTTTCTTGTTCTTATTGATGCTCTGAATATATTACCACCTAATGTTGTCTGGTTTCATACAGTTACAAAGTGTGAACCAGATAGGATCCTTGCCTTTTCCAAGCTGGAAACCTCAATATTATGACATATGAATATTAAAAAAAAAAAATCTATGATGCCTTAGACCAGTGGTGCATGCAGCTCATGGTGAGAGTGAGTGATACTGAGGTGGATGTCACAGACTGAGATAATTGCCTGCCTGGGTAATCTGAAGGGTTTGGAGATTTAACTGGAACGATCTTAATATCCTAATCCCCAACACCATTTGTTTATACATACGATTCCATCTCCCAAAACTCCCTCTCTCATTCTCTTGGTATGTCTTTATTTCTTACAAATTCAATAAAACAGACAAACACAAGAAAACAATAAGAAGGCAACTGAACTATATATATGTCCTAAACAAAAATCCTTAGAGAAATCTACTATTAATATAAATGGCAAAATACTGTCATTTTTTAAAAGCATTGTTACTAAACTCTGAAACTTACCATTTACCTAAGGTTTGAGAACTTAGTCTTGATGTAAACAAAAGAAGAACAGGATAGCAGAATTAGCTTTTCCTTGCTTGGAGAGCAACCTGTAACATATTTTGCATAACTAAACTGGAACTAAAAATCCTCAGGCCCTAGGGTGCTCTTTCCACATCTGGGCTGGATGAATACATCTGTTTAAGGAAGGAGTTATGTCTGCAAGTAGACTGGTAATGTGTGCATAGGTAAATACACATACATAAAGTGGCATTTCCTGTTACGTACCATACCCATTAGATTTGAATAGTCATGAGGTTTTGACTAGGTTTGTCAGATATATTTATTTGTTTGTTTATTTATTTATTTATAAATTGCCATAATGCACATACGCTCACCAGAGAGACAAAGAGATAAAGCATACCCCAATCGGATGCGGTCAGGCTGCAATCCCTCTCATCCATATCTCCATCCTGTAGGGATTTGAGGCATGCATACACATACACCTCACATGCTTTTCAAGTTGTCAGGACTAGGATTTGAACCACAGCTGGCCAGGTGGGACCTGACTCCCTTACCCACTAGGCCATGGGGCCTGCCCAGATATTTTCAATTAATGATGTAGAGAACAGCTATGGTTTTTTCGATATTTTAATGTGATAGATAATTTTCAATTGTCTTTTTTTTTTTTTGCAGTCAAAGGAGGAAGGAGAGGGGATGGAAAATTTTCAATTGTCTTTTTTTTTTTTTTGGCAGTCAAAGGAGGAAGGAGAGAAAAAGTTATTATTTATTTATTTATTTTATTTTGCGAATTCTTTGCTATAGGGCATGTGCACTTGCCAGAAAGAGAGAGAGACAGAAAGACAGAAACTGAGAAATAACCCCCTAGAGGTGGATGGCCATGCTGTAATTCCCTTGCCTCCATTTTCCTCTTGGGATCTTGGGGCACACAGGCTCATGCACCCAGCATGAGTTTAAGCCACTGGGTCTGGGACTCGAACCTTGGCTGACCACGTGGGAATCCAGTGACATAGCCATTATGCCAACTGCTGGTCCTGAGAAAAAGTTATTTCTGAATGGAGAACATTTCCAAGAACAGAGGACACAAGTATGTGTAAGGAAATTCTCCTTAATTCAGGGATATCCAAATACTGTTTTGGAAAAAATATAAAACAGGGTGATAAAAGCAAACCAATCTGGTTCAACCATGGTGGTGCAAACAGTAAGATAGCATTGCACAAGACTAGGGGTGACATGAGAACACTGGGTTTGGTTCTCAGACCAACCTGAATAGCTGGGCATGGTGGCGTGTGCCTGTAGTCCTAGCTAAATGGGAGACTGAAGCAGGGGAATTGTGACATGTCAAAAATACTTGTTTTTTAGGACCAGAAGATGGCATAATGGTTACATTGCTGGACTTCCGCATTGTCAACTGTGGTTTGAGTCCTAGACTCAAACACAGCTTAAAACACACTAGGGGTGTGTGTGTGTGTGTGTGTGTGTGTGTGTGCGCATGCCCAATATCTCCAGAGGAGAATGGAGGAGAAGGGATTGTGGTGTGGTCATTTCCCTGGGGATGCGGGTAATTTCTTGTATTCTGTCTCTCTGTCTCTCTGGTGAGTGCATGTGTCCTATAGCAAAAATCTCTCTCAAAAAAACAAAACAACAAAAAAACCATTGCTCTATTTCTTTCTCTTTTCCCTCTAATTAAAAAAACAAAAACAATGGACCAGCGGATGGCATAATGGTTACATCGCTGAACTTCCACATAGTCGTACACGGTTTGAATCCTGGACCTGGTGGCTTAAACTCATGCCAGGCATGTGTGTGTGTACACCCAAAATCCCAAGAGGAGAATGGAGGAGAAGGGATTGAGGCATGGCCATCCTCCCTGGGGGGCGATTTCTCCCTTTCTGACTGTTTCTCTCTGTCTCTCCAGGGAGCACATGCACCCTGTAGCAAAAACCTCTCTTAAAACAAAAACAAAATCCAAACTGATTTATTTCCTAAACAAACTGATTAGACAAATCAAACTGTCATAGAAACAATTTTTGAACTTTTTTTTCTCACATTCTTGGTTACAAGTTTCAACTATGTTAATGTTTCTTATTATGAGTTAAACACAAGCAGAGAAAATACAATTTCCATTATGTATCAAAAACTTATAAAGTCAATTTTCCTATTTCAATAAGTCCCATTATAATATTACATGCTAACCTCTTGAATTCTTTTAATATTTAAACATTTGCTAAGTGAGCAGACTCTGAAACAAATTTTACAGAAATACTAATTTCTCTTTTTTAAAATATTAAAAGTTGGATCATAAATATTTAAAAACTTATTTCTCCACAACATTGAATTGGTCTTTTAGATAAATATAGCACAGAACTAGAATGACCATAATGAATATTAAATCTGAGGATGCTACAAGTCCCGATTACAAACATTCTTTTCTGATAAATGATTCCTTTTCTGTGGAAATAGGGCAAACATGAGCAAGATTAATAATGCAAAAAAGAATAATTCTTTGTTCGGAATATTCAGTAATAGGTGCCAAAAAAGCATAAGCTCCAAAGCAAATAGTAATCACCTCTAACAGATTATATATAAAAAAAGGAAGCTGTTGGGGGACATTTAGATAGAGCTTTTGTCATAAGAAACATGAAAAACATGTGGGCTATAAAGCAAAAACATATGTATATTGTCAATAGCAGCACCTGCTCAATGCCGGTTTATTTCAGAGCTGAGAATTCCATTCAGCCCCTAGATGGCAATACTGTCAAACACTTTTGGTAACATGAGTACTTAATGATTAACAACCGGCATTCAGTCATCCAACATACTCCAGGCAACCATTAAAAAAATAACAAAACTGATTTCATTATAGATTCTTTTAATAAACATTTATGGCTCAGATCCTTGAAAGCAGAAGTATTCAAAATGCCCTGGCCTCAAAACCTCCACCATCTAATGGAGAAATATGGCCTGTAGGTCTCAAGTTGAAGTTCATGCATGTCTGGCACAGAAAATACTGAGAGGTATATTTCTACAAAGGGTGATTACAGTACTTGTTTTGCTTAATCTGGTCTATATTTCTCTCTCTTTTTATTTTTGGAAAAAAAAATAAAAACAAGAAAGAATCACATATTCGAATGCAAAAGAGAATTTTTGTGTCACAAAGTTAGACTGACGAGAAGTTTTTGTATTACATTGTCATTTCCGAAGAGTTATAAAGAAACATCACACATGCGTGTGTGCACCCCTTAAGTAGACCTTATTGACAGCCATGCGTTTTAGCAATGTTCAGTCAAAGCTATATTAAAAAAAAAAAAAGGAAAGAAAAATTTCAAATGGTAGAATAAGTAGTTTATTTTTTGGTATTTTAGATAATTTTTATTATTCCCCCCGAACGAATTTCCAACATCAAAGTTCACTATTTTTTTTTTCCTAAGGAATTATTTAATTTATTTATTTAATTTATTTAATTTGACCAGAGAGGGATAGAGTCAGGACGGGTGGGGTGGGAAGAGTGAGAAAGCAAGTATCAAGGTCCTGGACTTAAGCTGTGGTCAGCCATGTGGGAGTTGAGTGGCCTTAACCACCATGCCACCTGACAGCGCCAAAAGTTCACTATTTAAAAACCCTACTGTAAAATCTGGATGTAGTTAACTCTGTGTCTTATTCAGTTGCTTGCCATTTTCTTCAAATTCAGAACATTGCTTACTACTGAGGCTCTTAAATACTTTGGATTCCATTCCTTTTCTTAACAGTGTAGGGTTCTGTCCTACTGATTAGGAACAGCCACCATTAAAGACTCCCTTCCTTTCGCTCCTTGCTTCAACTTTGTTTTTCTTCCTTCATCTTTCCCCCATCCCACCTTTCCCTCTAGCTCCCAGTCCCCTTCCTCTATAGAGATGATCTGAATTCAATACCCTTAATGTCCTTTTCACTGTCATTTTGCTCTTAAAAAAATCTTCTACCCTACTAATTCTATATCAAGTCATTTTCTTTATTATCCCAGAGTTTGAGGTGGCCATTTTGTACTTGCTTCCGGTCTTTGTTAATTCTACATCTGTATCATATTCAAAACTTTT